GTGATGATCTGGTACTAGGTACGATATCAATGCCTCCTGTAGTACTAACCGGATCATTTCGGTGATCTTACCATTTACTTGCACATTTCCAAATGGAAAAGTCCCAGCTCTATGAGTTCTGATACCGGAAGTAGTGAAAGAAGCTTAAAACCCCTACAACCACTTTGGTCACTCCATTCACGAGTGAATAATCTTTCTCGTCACTTAACCGTAAAGATTCGCTGCTACACGCGCCGTACTCGTCACACGGTAGTGCTGACTCAGCTGTACCGCTACATTGCGACGAGGATGAAACCTAAAACGGCACTTCCACCGACTCTGACACGGAAGATTGCGACCCTCGTTCGCTCCCACTCTCAACGGCCTGGTAGAGGATAACAACAACTTATATTTGTTTTTGATTTTCTGACGTGCGTCTAGCAGCCAATGTATACCACCGACTTATTCATGTCGGAGTTCCATCATCCTTATAACTATCTATATTTTGTTACTTATTAATATTTACAGTTACACCAAGTGCAATGTGAATTTCGAATAGATGTAGCGTATTGTCTTTAATGCAATTTACCAAACGTGAACACACGATTGCAGGGCTCGCCCCGATACAGGAAGAGTTAACGCGGGATATCTCGGCGCAAGCCGCACCTACCATGAAGATGGTATCATTACCTCATATCCAGGCAATTAGAGCTCTTAACATCCGGACAGAGTTCGTTCGTTCTCTCCTCCTTTGGCAAATACACAACAATTTTGATCGCACACGGTACGCTTGGTTAGGTAGTGCGAAAGACTCGCAATAGGTGCCATTTAAAAGCTTCCTATCCTCAACAAATTTAGTGCACATAAGTGCCCATTTTCGCGTGCGGCCTCCTAACTTGGCGACTGCTATCGTGTGACTCATGAGGAAAACCACCAGCTGAGTATCCTCCATGACCGCCCAATAAATCATGGCTTATAATGGGTGATAAGCTTACTTGCTCCTCAGATACCACTTCATACCATTCATTGTTTTGCAAATTCTTCTTTGAGATAAAAACTCTAATACTTGCAAATGTAGGTGGTGAAGATCGACTAACATTCCTGGACTGCACCGGTCACTATATTCACGGGTAAACGATTTTAATACCAAAAAGCCGTGGCAGTATTTACCCCGAGCGACGGGCACATTTCGTGGCAGTGCTGACACAGAGTACCATAACATCGCGACAAGGACAATTTTTCGAGGCTTGACTCTTCTACTTGCAATTTGCAGTCGCCAATCTCAACAGGCCCTGACGCAGTAGATGTCAGCTTGCGACTGAAACCAAATGTGTCGATGGAGACGTCCTATGTGAATCAGTACGTAATATCGTTTTTTCCTGTCTTAGCAGATGTACACCCTGGAGACGTCGACATACGATCACTGTTCCTACCCCATGTTGAAATCGTGGCTCACTGTGGCTTCTGTTAACCTAGATCTGCTCAAGGCACTCAACAACATCGTTTCTCATCAATTAAACATCCATTCTCTGCCCAGATCTATAGTAGATTCATCTCACGTCAAAAGCACTCTTCAACTTAAGCCGGGGTGGTTCATGACTTGCTAAAGCTCCACAAGGAAAAATCTGCGTGGCATCTGACATTCTTGTCGTCAAGATAATCCTTGGCTCATGGTATTTGAGCTATGCCATACCTCACACGTGATGTTTTCGAATCTAGGTATAAGACGATAGCTATGTAAATTTTGCGGTAGACTCAATAGAACCTTTAGCAATTTAACTTACTGGGCGCTTGAATCGATTCGGACATCCACGGCTTCGTGGGCACCGATCATTCATGAAGACCCTGAGCTGTGAGCTATCTTCAGTTTAATCACCCATTGTGGACTGGTTACTGTAGCTCTTGACCTCCAAGACGTACAGTAGCTTTGTACGACGACCCTGTTTGGAAGTCCGACCCTTCAAAATTTTCACTCAAGGGCACACGCAAGGCGCAAATGCTTGATACACTCGCTGATGTGATATCGGCACTGCTTTGCAGCTAATAATTCGTTCTCCATATCTTCAATATAGTTGAGGTGCATTGCTTAGGGCGCCCTCATAGAGCTTTTCTTTTCCGTTCTCCAGCCTGCTGTTGCAGCACGTAAGTTGTACTACGCATTCAGTGCGATACTCATCGCATCTAGAAGCAGGATTGATGGACGCAGTAGATCACGGTACGAGCGGCATCTGTACGGAGACCTTCTATGGACCTAGGAGATGGTCTACCGCCGTCGCGGCTACGAGAGTCTGCAGCTCTCAGGCGTACTTCGTGCATTTTTCCCTAGATAAAAATTCAAGATGCTCACGGTTCGCCTGATTGAGCGGTGCAAACATCCGTGACATCGGTCACTCAATCCTTACATGGCGGGCATAATTTTTCAATTAAGATAATGCCCATTCTCGCACGCGACACTATGGCTCTATTACCACTAACGTGGTGCTCTGTCGCTCTGTTTGAAGAGTAATTGATCGCGTAGCGATTTCGGCTTCTCTCACCCAGAGAGAGGTTGCCTCATTCCCTTTTGTCTAGCTTTCCCAGGAAGAGATAAATGAACAACTTGTGTTCCAACTTCACAGGATGCGCTCATTTAAGATTGGGTCGTCGAGTTGACGGCAGGTGCTAACAGGTCAACAGGTTTGCCATCACAGGGATGCGACAAACCAGCGATACCGCTCTAAGTTGCGCACAGAGGGTAAGTTCGTACGCATGCAGAGTGAAAGCAAGAGCCTCTCACGTAAGTAGATAGATAGTTTGCTGTTCTAGTTACTCTATAAGTGTGACATATATTTTCGAATTTTATTTTATACAAAATAATATCCATATTTTACTAACCATTAGTAAACCTATATATTGGTGGCGAATTCCCACAATTTTTTTAAAATTATTTTAGGTTTATGGGTCGTTTGAGCTCGTAATGAAGGGTCAGAGATGCTAAGTGTTTATTCGCGATTACCAATGACATCATTCATCGCCGATAGTTCTGCACCATTCCCTGATACTCTACTTTATCAGAACAGCCTACGCCAGCAAATCAGCTATCTTGATATTCTTCTTCACCAGAGCAGCCATAATCAGAAGCTTGCAGCAGCTGCCCGCAGACGTAAGAAGCATCGGTTTTTATGAATATTAACTTTTGAAAATTTTCGTCCTTCAGTAAATTTCGCAGCTTCGAATGAAGGAACCCAGCAGCTGAGAAGTTTCTTTCAGACGCGGCACTTGACGTAACCAAACTAAAAACTTTGAGGGCAATATTCTGAAGTAAAGGGTATTGGATTGCAGCCATAAATTGATTTAGCAACGTGTTAAACCGAAAGTCGTTTTCCTCACGATTCTTATATGCATTGACCTCAAAATGGATGTATTCAGTTAATATTGCATCGCGAGCTTCGTCTACAACTAAATCAAAGAAAGGGTGTTAACAACATTCTTCTTTACCATGGTCATTGCATCTCCCAGATAGCTTGGATCCAGAATACAAGCTATTTCGATCCCGTTGCCGTATGAATACTTACTTCCGAAACAGGTATGGAATCTTTTTGGAATATGGTGATTACTTTGTCTTCCGGCTCTACTTTTCTCGAGATAACACAGGAATTTGCGTCGGTAAGAATATCGAAGGCTTTGTAAGCACTTGCTTTCATCTTGGCTGTACCGAAATTGAAATCTCGAGCTGTAACAATACTAAGGAGAATAGATTCACTTTTTGCAAGCCGAGAAGGCAGTCCTGCAGGCTTTTCCACCATGTGGCGGCAGGCTGAATCAATGCCGACACTTTCGGTTATATTGATCTTTTACAAGCTTCACCTTGATTTAATGGTGATATGATTAGAGAGATACGACCTCTTTGGCTTTAGAAGCGAATGTGAACAAATTATCAAATGGGTAACCATCGGGATAGGTGCGACAGCCAACCTTGCTTGGTTTTGATGGCTGCAGAAAATGACCTTCACAAGTAAATGCAGGCAATTCCTTATCAGATCATCCCAGGATATTTTGACTACAACAATTTCCATACCCATCTATTTGTGGCACTATCATCGGTTACTGCCCCACCAATTGAAAGACCAAGTGCTTTTGGATCGTAATGACACGGCTAAGATCGTAGTAATGAATTAAGCCATATGGTCCTACTCTTGCGTACAAATACTTTCCAGAAACAACGACGTATCACCGCCTATGAACATGTAATTCAACACTGGTTCATTCTTTGAGTTTAACCGCCCATCTGTAGTTAAATGATATAATGTTTTGCTGGATGCCTGTATTGCGAACTTGCGAGCTGACCATCTCAAAATAGTTCTGTTTTTTTTCTGATCAGGGAGAACCACATCTACCGACACAGTTGAAACGCTTTCGTAAATGTTCTTCTTTAACGCGCTGGAAAGACAATCCAGTAATATAATAGTGCAGGACAATTAGTCGGCTTGTTTCATTTTAGAGAGATCCAGTAACATGTAACTGTGTAAAGAAGAATGGCTTTTGTTTTTTCGAGTGATTTGCAAATGATCCACGTAGCTTTCTCCTCTTCAAGCGCGACGTGACAAACCATTCAGGAGGCTCATCAACCTCCACCAACTTTATGGACTTCAAAAAGCGGTTTACATTGACTCAAATGAGCTCTATAACGTTCCGATTTAAGTCGATTAGTGACTCAGGCTTTGCAGTGTTTACAGGTAGTTTCTATGGTTGCAAGGAGCGGGTAGTTAAACTTTAAACGTCACCGACTTTTCTTCCCTCCGTTCCTTCGTTGGGACTGCTGCAGCATCAACGCACCCCCCAGCACGATCAACGGTGACCCGTCAGGGTTAGATCGACGGAGACATCTGCTTGGTCGGGGTCTGTCACTGCTCATGCCGTCAAGCGGGTACTAGGCTACCAGCCGCTGTAATGATGACAAGTACACAAGTACGAGGAGAATATGGCAGATAACAGATTGTAAAGCCTGCGTTTGGCTCTACCCTAAATAAAAATGGAGTTTTGTCATAATCCCCAAAAAATCAAAACGAAATACCCAACCCAGCCGCCCCTGCTCTATATACAATGCGTGAACACATCATAATACGTGAAGTTCAACTAGCTAACGCGAAGTCGTATTGTCAACGCTTCGCACTCGGAAACACGTTGCAGCTGGGGTTGGCGGGTGCTTTGTGCAGCGTGAGTCTTGCCTTTATAATATATTCACGATGTGTTTTTCTTGGCAAAATATCGGTAAGGCCGTTACAAGGAAGGACGTAGAGATTTTTTCTCTGGCGAAGCCTAAGCTGTCGCCAAAATTGTACATCTAAACTTCAGTTCTCTTAAATTATTATCCGAATAATACATATTTTTAAGCGCCACATTAAAAGAGACATTTCTAAATAGATTGTTGTAATAACGGAGATGAAAGAGGTGTCGAATGCTATGGAATGCCGTTCCGGAAGTGAAATTGACGGGCCTTCCATTGCAAACGACACTTTGTCGTCTCACGAAGATGTACATGGTGCGAAGTTCAATTAATATAGATGACAGCAAAACTGATCGAAAATGTTAAGTTTATTGAAGCAGATCTAGATGGAGAGAGTCCGACTAAACCAATTGATCCTCTATTGCAGAAAGAGCTAGACGACGGAGTCGTGCCTCACAATCTATCGTTGCATGTGGAAATGCTGCGAGGAAAACTTTCACGGCGCAACCAAATACTGGAGGTTATTCGCCGTGCGTATTACCGGGATGTGATTGTTATCAAGGAAGAGCTGCGCCAAAAGGAATCGACAATCTCGTTGCATGGAAACTCAGTAAAGTTGCAGCAAGCGTTGTCAAGTCAAAATAGAGCAGCAATAGATGGCGGCCTTTCAAGCGTACCATCAGTTGATTTAAGAGACGTTCTGCCTCTGTTTGCACCTAGCGAAACAATGCTACAAGTACATCCTTGTGAGACATGTGGTGGTCACTTAGAGCTTGTTCATGGCGAAGTATGCAATCTGAACTGGTTCTTGTGCAAATATTTACCGTTTGACTTGTACAGACTAAGGAGCTTCAGGCAGCTCGACGAGAGAAGGTTCATGCAATGAAGAAGGAGCAAGAAATGCGAGCTACTGTGCAGCGGCAGCTGTCCGAGGCGAGGCAATTGGAGGAAGTCAACGAAGCATTACAGCAGCGTATGAAGGCCTTGACGAAGGAGAATGCGTTCACGCTGGAGCAGTTGCAAGTCGCACGAAGAAAAGAACGCGAACAAAAAATTATTACTACTGACCTACGCTCCAAACTTCAGCTTATTCAAGGTATGCAAGAAAAAATTGATCGCCTCACTGACGAAAACAATAATATGAAGCGACAGCTTTCTCAATCGAATGAAGATCGCGAAATTCTTTCTGCTTTCAGCGACCGTCTTAACGAACAACTTGCTCAAGTGACCGAAGCTCTGCAATGCTTTGAAGTCGAAAAAGCCCGAGTCGAGTCCGAGCTCAGCACAACTTGTACGTTTAGTAAGTTCATTTATTGCAAATTCACTCTGACAATCGATATGGCTTTAGATATCCGTTTACAAGAAGAAATTATAACATCAGAACAAAGGGCCGTGGACCTCGCAGTGCGCGATGGACAACTTAGAGAAAAAACAACTCTTTGCGCAGAGCAACAACAAACTTTAGTCTTTTCAAAAGAAGAGCTCGTTTCGTCATTGCAGCGATTTGATCAAACCAAGCGGCATTTGGAAGACCAGCTTATTGAAGAGGAACGTATAAGGGAAGAGACGCAAGAACAAAATCTGGAACTCCGCCGTCAAAATAAAAAATTGTTGAGGGATCTAGAAACGATTCAAGGACGTTTGGCGGGTTTGGAAAAATCGCCTGTCAGTATTGATGCAAATATTCATTCTGAGAGTGACTGTAATGCGGCAAGTCAGACAGCGTCGATGCGAGAAATCTTGCTTAAAAAGCTGGAGGGCTTGGAGTACCGACTAGAGTGCGCCTTGATGCGTGAGAACGACCTTGCAGGCCATCTAGCGTATAGGAATAACGGTGAATGTAAGCCACTGAGTCAAAAGCACGCGCTGAGCACAAGTAGAATTAAAACTGTCATCACACGTCAATTGCGCCCCGAACGTGACATCTTGCAGCCTGCGGAGGCTTCTGCAGTGAGAACAATTTTGCAAAAACCAACTCTCCGGGACATCAACACATCTAACAAGCAAAATACAGTAATTGCTACCGCTGAACCCGTGTTAAAGGAAGAAGATGAATCGCAAGAGTCGCTCAATATTAACGAGAAAGACTTTGAGACCTATCACAAAGAAATTGCGCGTATGCTAATGGAGATCAACGAAGGAAAGGTTTTATCCGCTAAACAACAAAAAATGATATCGGTACGTAGCTATCATGTCATCCATGACTTCATATCTCTGGTATCGTTGCTTGAAGGATCACACGTATTTCGTGATGCATTCATACAGGAACTAGAACGAAAAAATCGTGTTCTATCTGATCGTCTTGAAAATTCTCAGTTATCTATTGAGGCTCTCACTAGCAGGTACCGCTGTGATAACATTGTGTGATTTACGTGTCATATTAGCCAACTTGATTCGTGCGACAATTCTGTAGCGTGAACACAATGAAGTTGCGGCAGAATCAGGATAGTGCTGGTGTTACCGAGATGAAGGAGGTAATGGCGCGCCAAGTTGAGGAAGGGAAGAGAGATCAGCTGTACGAAGCTGAAAAAAGCTCGATATTGGTGACTTTCATGCGCAGAGTTTCAGAGTCTGTACATGGAATTAGTGACAATAAGGCGCTCCTTTTTGAGCTGGATCTTGATGCTGTACCACCTGATAACCCGCAAGAAGTTAAACTTGATATTTCCGGCGGTATACAAACGATGGAGCTGCAACGCAAAAAGCGAGAAGTACATCGAAAGATGCTTTTGGAGAAAACAATGCGAAAGTTCTCTATCTTGTGTCACAATAGAGCTGAGTTGATCGAAGTCGAGCTGCAAAAATTGAAGGCAAATTTAGAGCGTATGCATGAAAATCTTGACCAAGCCGAAAATAGGATTGATTCAGACCAACTCCATATTCGGATACTTGAGGCAGAAACGTCAAAGCTTCGAATAGTAGTCGAGAATACGAAGAGTGATTCTGGAAAACTGGAGCGATCTCTGGTATTACAGCCATTAAAGTGTGCACCAATAATTATTGACGCTCATGTTTTTTGTGCAGAAGCACATGGTGGACGAGCTAAACGAGTACACAAAAACTTTTCAAAAGCAGGCAGATGAATTGACTATGGTCAAAGGAAATCACGAAAAGCTAGTAGAAAATCAGGTGAAACTTATGAATCAGCTATTAGAAAAGAATGAGGCCTGGAATATTGAGATTGCGACAAACAAACAGGTTTGATGTAAATTGGTCAATCAACTTGCTCTAAACTCACTTTTACACTCTGACAGCTTAAAAAGATAATTGACATGCTAGAGGCTGCTATCAGTGACGGTGACCAAGAGCGCCGGGCTTTGCAACAAAAGGTAAACTAAGCATTCGTGGCGAATTCTCTACAATATTTGATAAAATTTGTTACAGCTTAACCAGATCGAGGAGTTGGCTGAGTTTCGTCGCCGGACAAATCGGAGTGTCGAAGTATCTGTCATTTCCGAAACGATCAATTCCGGAATTCAGACGGATCGGTGGAAGCCTCAAGGATTAATTTTGCGACAACGTAACGGCTCTGATCGCGTTCCACAGCGGTATCTTGGTAAGGCCTCCGTCATGATCGCGTATCCCGAATTAAATCAACCATTTTCTTCAGAAATGGATAGTGTCCTTAATTTAACAAACCGGGAGTTCGGGGCACTTTCCAGCCAAGATCGAATCACAACAGAATCTGATCCTGGTGGATCTGTGCGTGGTCTTTTCGAATTAAATGTTTACCCATCAGACAAAGTGGGCGGTCGGCAGATTAAGACGAGTTACTCAAGCTCACGTCCAAAGGCTCTCTCTCGACTCTATTTGTCGTCAGATGGTGTCTCAGAAAAGTACATCGCACCAGCACAAGGCCCGCAGCAGCGGGTATCTTTCGATGGAAGACCGTCTACAGTACTGTGATAAGTTAAAGACACAAACAGCGTAAATTAAGAAGGCGATAAAACAATGATCACATTTTAATGTTTTGAAAATGTTTTCTCAATAAAATGCACGCCTTCGACTCCAAGATGCGCAAGTGCTGGGCCATAAATGTCTGGAGTCGTGGGGATAAGCACACCGCGGCCCCGAACTGCGTCTTGAAGGATCAATTGCACGCCGATGGCAGCACTCAAACCGACAGTTTTGGCCATAATTGTGTCACCCTTCTCTGAGCCGTAACCTATGAACGTTGACGTGCGTAGCTCCTTTCTGCCATCATTGTACTCAATGTCAAACTCATGGTGCATGATGGCCATATCGCGTTCGCCAGGCTGATAGGCCAACTTGTCTTGGAGCAATGCGCAAAACGCATCAAGAATAGAAGGTGATTTGACGACTGGTGTCGAGTGTTCAAAAGCACCAAGCCACTGAAGAAAGTTGCGAGCGTCCTCGTGAAGATCGTGATGGCCACCAAGCTGCCTGAGAAGCTCTGGCCAAGTAGCTGGAATGGACGTTGACGGATCCATATTAAAAAGGCCAAGTTTGCGTAGCTGATACAGAATTTGACAGCAGCCACCGTAGCGCAGGGTGCCGCGGTAGAGTGTGTGGGCTTCTGGAATGCCGTATATATCGCCGTAAGGGAGGGAATCACGATTTGGGATCTGTTCGATGTTGAAGGCCGGCAAGAAATTAACACGTTCACTACAGTTCAGCAAGTCTTCACCTGCTACATAAATAATCTCACCGTTTTTGCGATACTTAGCCGCGTTAAGTGCCGCAGTAAGAACACCGCGCGGACTCCAGCTAAATTTGTATCCAATGGCGTTATCTGCAGCCTCAGGGGCTGGAAGTCCACCACAGACGGACGAAAACGACATAATTCTCCCAAATTGAGCTTTGACTTCGTCAATAACCTTCATTGCGCTCATGTGATCCATTCCAGGGTCAAGACCAAATTCGCAAAGAATAGGAATGTTTGCCTTCTTTGCACTACCATCCAGCTGTTTCATTTCAGGTGACACATAGCTCGCTGTCACCAGAGGTGTCGCATGATAAATGCAGTGCTTGGCGATTGTTGTGTGCAACGTCGCCGGTAACAACGACACAACGCAATCAGCGTCTGCACAAAGCTTGTCGACACTTACATTGTCTTCAGCCACGTTTACGACCTGCGATTTGATGTTGTGCCGAGAGATATTGCGTTCTATCCTCTTCAATTCGCTATCGATTCCCGAAACTATGTAGACCTCATTTTCTTGCTCACGCGATAAATACTCCACGAGTGGAGACGCCACCAATCCAGCGCCAAAGCACACAATTCTTCGCTTTCTCGAAGTAGAGACAGATACATTACCTGTTTTGGCTGTGTTTCTTTCCGTAGAACCACGCGATTTCGAAAAATCCGTCCCACAAAAATCGGGTAGCTCTGTTACAGTAGCATTTGCACCCGATGTCAGCTCTGCAAGAGACTGGATTTTTGTAATAATCGCATCCAACTCTTCGCGACCGCACATACTAATCTGCACGATTGCAATCGATACAGTGCTAACACCTCCATCACCAACGCCCAAATTCGGACGGACTTTACATTCGACAAGGTGAAAACCTCCACCATGGTCTTCAATGAGATTAAGTACCTGATTGATCAATCCAGAATCAAAAAGATGTCCTTCAAGTAGAAGGCATGTACTTCCAGCAACCTCTTGTTGCGCATTTAAGAATTGATATTGCTTCCTGCGGTCTCTCTCGGCCCGCATCCGATGAATATACTCGTACTTAGGTGCAAGTTTACCTTCGCTAGCAATGCAAGCACGACGAAGTTCAGCAGGAAGCTCAATCCGCTCGTAAATGGGAACATTGGACAAAGAAGGAGACGATAGAGAGATGATGTAGTCAATTAGGCGGTCACCAAATTGTTGACTCGATTCGCGCGCCAGCTCGCTCGGCAAGATATCAACACCCATCATAATGATCCCGTCTCCCTCAAGGCCTCGGATATCTCCATCGTCGCGCATCTTTTCTTCCGTGACATCAAATAGTGCAAAAGGACGCTCAATTCTTGTGATCCTTTCTAAAAACTCAACACTACCACCGATGTCGCACGAAATATCCGCGATGCCTAGCAGTTGGTGGTTTCCAGTTTTGCGAAGTTCACGGAGTTGCTCTCGTGTGATTAATCTGGGAAAGCGATCATCCCAATACATGCAGTTTACGAGCATCGAAGTGTACGGTAACACCTTTTGGTGAAAAACGGGTTCGTACTGATGAGGGTTCTGATAATAGTGCGCTCGTATCGTCTCTCCTATATCCGCCCGTGGCTTTGCAAAGTAAGAAGGATCATCAATCACTGTGCCGTAAAGAATGTGGTTATTCTTTGGTAGCTTTGGCAGCTCGGACGGATGCACCATTTTATGTGGCATGAGCTTAAAAATCTCTTGTGCTCCTCTCGACACATTGCCGTTCCCCGTGAAAGCGATCGTCATCGGTACCAAATGTTTTGGCAAGCCGTCATTTTTAATCTGACTCCCTGCAGCTTTAACTGCATCTTTTGCGTGCTCCAAGTCGGCATACATGTAAGCGGAGGCGACGTTCACAAAGGGTGAAGATATACCCATGTTGATAAGACGCTCTCCAAGGCCCCGAAACCCTGTAATCATTCCTGCTCGACCTGCGTTTCCACCAAACGAAATCAGACGCTTGCCGCTCTCTTCTGTGATACATTCATAATCTATGAGTGTAATGTGGCGTTGCAACACGGTATCTAGCATGGCCATGTTCTCAGGCTGCGCTTTGATGGTATGGCTAAAGAAAAGATACGTCTTATCGGCCAGTAAAGCTGGTTGAGGCACCTGCTTGACGCCCACAATGACGTTGGCTTGCGTCAGATCTTCAGATATTGTTGCACCAGCATGAGCATACTGGTCGTCAGAAAAGACGCGAGCAGTGGACGGCTGTACCAAAACCTGTACACCGCGCGTCACCAATTCCATGACGTGCGCGGGCGTAAGAGGCGCACGCCGCTCCCATTTATTGTAAGCCTCGCGGACAATGCCAATACACTTGTTCTTCATACGTGAAAGAAACAAAGTAGAGCCGACTGCACAAATGCGGAAGTGCCGCTGGTTGAAGTTAGCACTATGGAGTTAGGACTAGGTTAACTTGAGAGTATCTGTTTTACAGAATAATATAATTAGAACGACCTTCAGCAATGTTCCGATTTCACAATTTTGACTCAAACTGGTGATGACGCTTTATGTACACGTCGCCACCATTACCTTAGCATCAAAGGTTATCGAGACAATCTTCTTCATGCAGTACAGGTGGCCAATATTTTCGACTTTTCAGGCCATAATTCCAACATTTTCAATTAGTATGCAACTACCCGTTGCAATAAAACAATTTATTATATCAAAATTAATACAATCGGGAAACAATAAACTGCACATTTCTCAAGACTTCGTCCAGGGCTTGCATTAGCTTGGTCAATCTACATAGTGACTGTGGTACTTGCTAATGTAAGTTTTGCTCTATACCGTTTACGGAAATCGCGACCGTCAAGCACGTCCATTGAGGACAAAAATCTCTGAAGTGTCCATCTCACCATAAGTCATTGGTCAAAATTAACCGTCTTTATGAATGCGCTCACGCTCGTGCTATGTGTGCTTTCAATGATAAAATGATGCCCACTTGTACCGGGGTAAACATGGTTAATGTAAGCTTAATCTTTGCCTCCGACAACAGCATTTATCGAGCTGGGAATGTTTTACTTCTGAGATATCTGTAGGAAATTGCAAGGCCGTGAGTGCGTCAGAAAATCAACTTGGTTCTCAATGCCAAATATCGAGCCACGCGGCAATGACCATTACCAACGAAAAGTTAATGCGAGACATGCAGTGAGTTTGACTAGAGGAAGTATACCGTCCGACTCGAAATTACTAATTTCTCGTTTAGAAAGGATAACGACATACGGCGGATCGTGCAGGCTAAATATGAGCTGAAGCCATCATAATTCTATCGCAAAAAAATCGGTTACTAGAAGAATTTGCTGCAGAACTACACCTCATTCCATGCATATTACCTAGTATTATCATATGTTTATTAAGAACAGCGAGGTTTGTTTCACTGCAATGACAGCATACTCTAGAAACGGCGATCAAGTTCCGGAGACTGTCCAATGCACCTGCGACGTTCAATCCCCTGGTGACGCAGTTGTTCAAGCCAAATTGCGGCTGCGCACAAATATATTTATGTTATGTAATCGTCAGAGTTGCACAGAGCGCAGGAACGCAGATATAGAGAGCCTTATCAAAACCTTGCGAGCAGTACTCGATAAAATCAGCATTCGCCAATATAGGCAAGTATCTTTGACGCCGATGAAAACTTTTCTGGGTTGATTAACAGGGAATCATGGCCTGCGGGTCGATCAAGCAAGATAAAGGAAACTGTAAATCGGAGTGCCTATTCATCACAAGAAATTGTTAAAGTGACATGACCAGAAATTACTTGTACAAGTACGGTGTAAACTATACCTGCATGACACGTCTCCTAGGTAATATCGTTTGAGAAAAATTAGGCAGTGCTGGTTTGCGCCAGAGGAGAACGCCTTAAAGGCTAAAAGAGTACACCTCACGCGCGGACTAATTTTGGCTTTCTCTTCCAAATCCAGACCCGCTAATCCATGTCGGCTGTGACGCTGACGCTCCAGCCTTTGCAATAAGCTGCGTAATACTCTATGCAATGTTAACGGATGTAAGCGCGTGAGCGTTTAAGTCTCGCCCGCTCATATCGGCAAAAAAGAACTACTCAGTAAACGATATGGCGCCATTTGCAATGAAGTTACTGCATATCAAATGCAGTGTGCATCTGCTTCACTCAGCCGTTGGTGATCTATACATTGCGCATAGCGACGTCGTCACCACATCTCTCACATTGAAATACACGTGCTTGTTATTCTTCGCCAAAATTGGTCTTAAAGTGTGATGCAAGCTAGATAAACATATCGAGGTAGCTATTGCGCTTTCGAGCTAACTCTAAATTGTCGCATGGCTCGATGCTGACGTCGCCAACTGCTGAGGCGATACGTACCGCGTACGAGTCAGACGCAATATGGCTTGCTTCACTTAAATGTTTAAAAAGCAAGGTGCTACTGAACTCTGCTGTCGCTTTATTGACGCGCGTGAATGCACGCTCACACTGTAACATATGTACTATGTTATGTTCTATGTAATGTACGCAACATGTTATGTTTGATGTTACCGATTACAATGGTACAGGGCCG